TCGCCCAGGGGGTGGTTTCTGTGCAGGGACCTGGAGGATGTGAGAGAGCGGGGCCGAGGCGGAGCATTCCCCACACGGGAACAGCACGGGCGAAGGCTCTGCGGCTGGCTGTGCTTGCTGAGTGGCCGGAGAGGCTGCTGCTGAGGGGCAGGAGTAAACATGAGATCAGAGAATTGTGAGAGACCAGACGACGAGGGGCTGGTAGTCCATTGTATGCGCTTTATCTTTTTATTCAGAGTAAGATAAGAAGACATTAAAAGCCTTTGAGGAGTGACATGATCTGACTCGCGTTTTAAAAGGATCTCTCTGGACAGTTTGTGAAGAATAGATACAAGGCAGCACAGGGGAAGGCCAGGAGCCCGGCTGGGGAGTTAGTGCTTAACCTAGAGGGGAGATACTGGTGGCTTGAACCAACAGAAACATATATAACACAACGGAGCCCGGCCCTCGGAAAGCGCCCGCCAACGTGATCTGTAACTGTTATTGCCGGCGTTGTCAAGTCAAGCTCCTCATCGTCATGGAGAGCAGGAGGCCAGCGCCTGTGTCAGAGGAAACCGACAGCAGACCTTCCTGCACTCCACACGGAGTTCTGCGAACTTGACGGGCTCCTCTGGCGCCTCTGGGCAGAAGTCTCCCAGTGTCCCTCTGCGACTCTCTGTCTCAATCTGTCCCCCAAGGGAAGGGACAGGGCTTTCAACACCACTTCAGTTTTGAGAAAAAACCAAACAGAAGTAGCCGAGGGGGCAGAGAGTGCCTCAAGGATGGAAAAACAAAGGAGAGCGGCTCAGGCCAGGCAGCACAAGTTGTTGGTGTTTCTATCTGAGCAGCTCATTTAATCTTCAGTGTTCAGGAGAAATTCGTGTGTCCCCGTCCTCAGATGAGAAAACTGGACCTGAGGAAAGCCAGCTCCTAGGGTCAGTAACAGGGACAGTGCTCTGACCTGGGGGTGCTAGATCTCAGGCACCCCCGCCGCCCCCCTCACCGGCCACTCGCGGCCCAGCCTCCCCAGGCTGGTCACGCACATTCTGTGACGTCGGTCCGAGGGCACCCTTCAGGACTCAGACCCAAAGACATGCTTCCGAGGGCCTCCCCAACTTGGGGTCTCCAGTACCTAGAGTCGACCAGCTCTAGGTACTCACTCTGTCTTTTGCTCCTTGGGTACAAAGGTAAGATCTCTTTCTTCCTCATGATGGAAAACAGGGGATTGCCAAGAAGTCTCACCTCTTGTCATTGTTGCTTTGTGCAAACACCGAATGATACGCTCTTACTTGGTAGAATGTTTTAAATTTACCGCCGGGAAAGCTGCCTGTCCGTGACAAGCAAGTTGATTTCCTAGAAAATTTCTGTCTTTTCTGTTCTAACCAAAAAAAAAAAAAAAAAACAACAACAACAACAACAACAAAAAACAACAGAACCTCACCCAAGTTTTTTCCACCTGTGAAATATCACGTGTAACCATGTCAAAGAAATCAAGTATCTTTGGAGAAAGAGCTAATTCTAAGAGTAGGACAGGGAAAAGTACAAGATAAGCCAGAATATCTTTATACCAGAAACAAGGAAGCTGTCAAACATTAGCAAAGATTACAGGATTTGTGTCAAAATGACACAGGAATCAACTTGCATAGGCTCCCACCCGTCAACGCTGGCGCAGCCAAAGCAGCAGGAAGGACAGCGCACTCTGAAAACACATCCAAATGTTTCAATCTGTGAGTTTGTAATACTACTAAAAAATCGAAGAAAATAAACCTCACCAGTCACTTCTGGAGAATGCTATGGAACAAACTCATTCTTTTGGAAACTGGCAAATAAAGGAAAAGAAACACATATCCTCTTCCCGGCATAAGCGAAGCCATCGATAGCCAAATACTTTATAAAGAAAATGTTATTTTTAGAGAAGCAGTACTATGGCTGGGAAACAATATGGCAGTATCATTTTGTAACAACTAATGGATCAGTCTATCCGGGACAGGGTCATGGACAGCTCTGTGACCGAAAGACAAGGAGATATTGACACCTCCTGATGGAAGAACACAACGCCAAAGTAAATCAAGCCTTAATCTGATCAAACCATCCTGATCTATCTAACTGCCCGTTTAAGAAAATTTAGGGACGGGGAACACAGCAAGTGGCACCATAGCATTTGGCAAAATCAGATTGTGGGGAAATGAATCTATAGGACAAAGGATCCAGTTGCTACAAAAAGTAAATTCCAAGAGAAAAATATATATACATTGGAAGTAGAAACCATACGTTAAAGGAGACTTGAGAGACACATGGATCCATCAAAATATGTAGATCTTATTGGATCCTGAGATAAATAAACAAAGTGCAAAAAAATGTTTATGAGACAAGCTAGGAAATTTCGACACCGATAAAGTATTCGATGAAATTAAGGAATTAATGTTCAGTTTTTGGTGTGTGCCTCAGTGAGCCGTTTTGGCATAATGAACCACCCCAATTGATTTAGTGACATAAATCAAGGACTGTTTTGTTGGTTCATGGCTCTGTGAGTCAACAGTCTGGGCAGGCGTCAGCTGGGATGGCTCAAGTGTCCCACATGCTGCGGCTGGTTCACGCGCATGTGTGGACTGCACAGAACCCGTGGCGGTGGCTCTTCCTCTCCTCCACCTGGTCTCTCAATCTCTAGGGGGCCAGCCTGGGCTTTGGGCTTCTTCCCAGGGTGGCAGGCGCGCCAGCAGCAAGAAAGCAGAGACTCTGTGGGCAAGTGCACTCTGAGCTTCCACCTTGCATCACGCTTGTGAGTGTCCCCTGCGCCAAGAAAGTCACCTTGTCACACACAGAGGCAATGTAGGAGGGGACATCAGAAGGGCGTGAGCACTTTGAGGCATGGTTCCTTGGAGGTCACGCTGTGACAGCCTGCCCACAGTGTGACAGTGGGATTATGAATATGATTTTAAAAGAGTGTTTATCATCTAGATATGCATATTAAAGTATTTCCATATAAAATGATATGCTTCAAAGCAATCACGGTGTGGGAGGGAGGGAGGGAGGGAGGGGGTGGGTGAGTGTAGAGATGAAATAAGATTGGCCGGGAGTTATTGAGGCTGATTGATGAGTAAATAGTGGATCATTATATTATTGTCTCTACTTTTGCATGTGTTTGAAATTTTTAATGATGTCAAGTTCCTTTTCTGACGCCCAGTCAACTGCCAGCACTGGGAGACGAGAGGAAGACGAGAGCCTCGGCACCGCCATTGCTGCTCCCCAGATACCATGTCCTGCTTCCCGAGGCAACCAGGGGCGAGGCGGCTCCAGCGGAACTTTTCGAGGCGCCCTGCTCCCTCCCTCTCCTGCAGAATAATGTGGAACAGAATAGCTCGTATAAGCAACATGGTAGGAAGAACCCCATCGGCACTTGCAAATCCAACACTTACGGTTTTATTTATTAGTGCGCACCTTTTCCCCCCCCAGGTTGTTTGGGGACTTAGGACATGGACCTCTTCTAGATAATAAATTGCAAATCATGGCAATTAGAGAAAGAAAGAAGGAGGAGGAAATGAGAGCTGGGGAGGCATAAAGTGGGCGGCGCTCTGAGGGGGGCCCTGTACCGCAAAGTTAAACGAGGAGAAGGGAGAGAAGAGGAGGTGGATCTCACGCACCTGGGATCCACCCGCACTCGCTGCATGCATCACGTGTGCTGGACATTTGTCTTCACAGAAAAAGGAAAACTTGTTAACGTTTAGACATGATTGATCCCGTTTGAGTGCTTGCAATCATTTATTCACTCAAAACATTTATTGAGTGTCTACTGCATGCCAGGTCCTGTTAATGCTGAATGGAAATAAAAAGATGATTTAAGATATTTTTTCCAATCTGTATTAATGAGGATAATTCCAGCTGTAATAATAAATTACAATTCAAAGAGACTGAAGCAGGAAAGGTTACTTTTTGGCGCACGTAGCTGGAAGGCCTAAGCGGGGCTTCAGGCGCAGCTGGATCCAGGTGCTCCAACAATGTTGCCAGGAACCCGTCTCTCCGTTTCCTTCTGTGTAGGCAACATGCCCAGACATGCTTTCCCACCAGCAGCAACAGGTTTACATCCTACCACGTTGGCAGCAAGTGCCCCAGGGTGTGGTGTCCCTGGAATGGCCTGGCCCAGTGCCCTTGGTGATCTGGGAGGAGGAACGCACGACCGCCAGGCCTGGGCTGTGAACCTGGCTCTGCGACCGAGAAAACGTTAGACCTACCCAGCAACACAGAGTGAGAGAGGAGAAGACCCCTCAGAGGGTGATCACAATGTGGCCACCAAAAGAAGGCGGAAGGACGTTGGCCTGACAAAACTATGGCGTCCTTTAAGTGCTTGTAGTCATTCTTTCCTTTACTCACTCAGTACATTTGCACTGAGGGCTTGCGTTCCAATCTCTGTTCGGGGTCAGAGATACAGCAATTGACCAAGACAAAGTCACGGGGCTTCTATTCTAGAGGCAGAAACAGAAAACAAAAGTGTTGACGATAAATTTTTATGTAAATTCCAGGTCGTGATTTTTCATGAAGCAAGTAATAATGAGCAATCTTTTTCTGAAAAGGAGAGTAAGGGGTGAACAAGGAGGGAGGGGGGCTGTGAGGGCCAGGGCGTGAGGCTGGGTCTGTCCCAAGGGGAGCCCCGCCCGGCTCAGCCCCGGCTGCTGCGTCCAACCCCATTCCTTCCCATGATGCACATGGCTGCTCCCTAAATGCACGGGGCAAGAGGAGCACTGGGCAGGGAGCCAGAGGGGCCCAGCCCAGGCCTGCTGGGCCGCAGCTCTCGGCAGAACCCTGGGCCGCTCAGCCCGCCTCTCTGGGCCTCACTTTCTTGGTCCCTGGATGGCATGCCCACATGTTTAGACAGTGTATCTTTCTTGGAAAGCAATGCCAGCTATCACTGATTGCTGCAGGCCGCCCTGACGTTGCCTAAAGGCCATCGGTGATGCAGTGTGTCCATCACTGGGAGACGGGGCCTCGGTGCTTGTTTGTTAGTGGTTGGTATTAGGATTTGGGCCATGCACGCCAGCCAGGGAGATGCCCAAGGACTCTCCCAGAGCAGGTAAGGTGAGGTTTGCCAGATAAAATACAGGACCTCAGTCAATCTGAAGTTCAGATAAGCAATGCATTAATTTTTAGTATAAGTATATCCCAAGTCTTGCATGTGGCATACCTATAGTAAAAAAAAGGTTTTTTAATTTGTTGCTTATCTGAAATTCAAATGAACTGGCCATCTTGTATTTTCATTTTCTAAATCTGAGCCAGACCCAAGTGGGGTTTGGGGGTGAGGGAGCACCTAGCTGCTCCCACCTTCCCCCCACCCCACCTTTTCCACACTTCCTGCCTCTGTCCTAGTCCGCCTCCTCGGGGTCCTCACTGCCGCGGGGCTGGGGGCAGCGAAGGAGGAGCAGGGAGCCCCCCAGAGCAACGGCCGGGGTGGAGCGAGTGTGGGGCACTAAGGAGGAAGGACAAAGAGAAGGAGAAGAGCTGGGTGAGAGGCCGGGCAGGGCCGGGGGCAGGGGGCACTTTCTGGAGGCTGCCCGCCCTTGCAGGAGTGGGACGTGGGGGTGGGTGCAGGCCCTGAGCACCGCCAGGGCAGCAGCGGCCCTGCTTTCCAGTCCCCAAGACGGTGGCAGCAGGGGCCATAAAGCTTCTTAGAGGTAAATTATCTCCCTCCCAGGCAGCCCAGACCCCAGCAGAGAGAGAGCAGAACAGAAGCCGATTACAGCCGACAAGCTGGGTTTTTAAGCCTCTCGTATTTTCACTCTTAAAGATCCTTTCCTGCCGCTGATCGGTGTGGCCTCCGGGGGTGCTGGGGATTCCCAGGCACCCATGAGGATCCCTTCACTTCTTCTCCATCTGAGGATGAGCACGTGGCTGAGGGGGCAGCGGGCTCCCAACTGAGAGATGGTGCCAGGGATGCACGTCTCATGCCCCAGGTCCCCCTCACACACCTCCCCCAGCGGTGGCCCCGGCCTCCGGGACCTGAGCCCCTCCAGCGACAGCTGCCCCAGGGTTTTAAGCCAGTGCCACGCCGGTGCCCTCTTCAGTCATAAGCTCTGTCCTGTTCCCCGGGGGCCTCCCTGCAGCTGGCCTTGTGCGCCTCTCTCCAGAGCTGGGAGGGGCCTCAACCGCCAGCCTACGTCCACGGCAGGGTTCCCCACTCCCCACGCCCTGCCCAGCCCTTGGGGGCATCTCAGTCCCTGGGGAAGAGTGACAAGACCATGTGCCCACCCCACTCCTGCAACCCGAAGGGGCTTCATGGGAGCTTGGGGGGAGCAGGGGAAAGGGGAGCCCAGGGAGCCTAAGCCTCTGTGTGTGTGCGGAGCGGGGCGGAGGGGACAGCGCGGGGCAGGGCTGAGCCCCAGGACTGATGCGCCGGTTCTTCCCCGGTTACAGTGACGTCTTCCCCGGGGAACTCCCACTCTCCCGCTCTATCTCTGCACCCGGTTCAGACTCCTCACCACCCACACCCGGTTTGTCAACATCCATCTCAAAGGTCAGTCCTTCAGACTGGACACCAGGTCCCCACAGAGCGGCTTATCACCTCCTTTGCTCTGAGAGCCATACCTTTGTTGATGCTGCCCAAGATTTTGTTAATTTCTAGGCAAAGGGGACGCTGTCTCCAGCCACTGACCCAGTTACCATGAGGGAAGAAAACTCCCCAGATGCCGAATGTTTGAGGAACCCCACAGGAGGAAGAGAAACCCCGAAGCCCCGAGGTTGGTTGTGGCAGATTTCCTCTCTCCGCCCCATTTTCATTTCCACTCCCGGTCGCTCAGCATCTCCCCTCTTCCGCCCTCTCTGGCCTTCCTGTCTTTTTCCACTTCTTTTCCAGCCCGTCTTGGGCAGACAGAGGATAACTGCACGACCTTGGGCAAGTCCCTGTCCCCCTCCGAAGCTTCCCCTCCTCCTCTGAAAACGGCGGTGGCGATCCCTGGGCCCCCTGCTTCACAGAACCCGAGACTCTGTGCAGATAATTAATGCATGAGCGAGCACTTTGGAAGCTATTCAGCACTGCACAGATGAAAGGCCTTATTTATTTATTTATCCATTTATTTATTCCTCTGGCACGTGACCCTGCGCTGAGAACTCCATGAAGGGAGAGAAACAAGCAGAGCTCACGACCGCCCAGGGCTTGAGTCCTGGATGTCAGAGCCAGTGGGGCCTTGGGGAACCGAGAGCCCAGCCCCTTTATTGTACAGACGGGAAACTGAGGCCTAGAGAAGCGTAATAGCTGAGGTTCATTAAGTAGTCTCTAAGTACTTTGGGGTATTCATTTGTTAAATTCCCCAAAACCCTATGAAGCAGGCACTCCTCTTACCCTGTTTAAAAGATGAGCAAGTTGAGGTCCAGAGAAGTAGAGTACCTCGCCCCAGGACATGCAGCTAATGGGGGCAACATCGGCCAAGTTCAGCCCAGACGGCTTGATCCAGGGCATGCGCCCAGGGGGTCGGGAGCAGGGGCTCCAGCCAGGGCTGCCTCCTTTCCAGCCTCGCCCATGTGGAAAAGCGGACTGGCCACTGAACGTGGCTGGGGCCCAGAGAGCAGCTCACTGGGGCCCCGTGTTGTGACCCCCCGTGGGGCCCTAGCGTCACCTTGGGATTTAGGCCTCCGGGTCCGAAGGAGGAGGCTTGAGAGGAAGGGAGGCCTTAAGGGAAGGGTATAGAGAGGTGAAACGGCTTCTGGAAAAAGGGAGAAGCCAGAGAGTAGGAAACAGACCCCGCAGAAGACAGGGGCAGAGGAGGTGGCATGAGAGGGTGGCGGCAGGGGGGTGACAAGGATAGACTTGGGGCGCTCTGTGCTGGCTCTCATTTGATACGCTCCTATCCTGCCTCCTCTCTCGGGCATAGTGCTGGGCACAGTGCAGGGGTGGGGGAGGGGTAGAACAGCATCCTTTCCCTTCAGGGATTCCCGGTCCAGCAGGCAGGTGAGATAACGGACCGCGCCTGCGTGCCTGGGAGGTGCCAGCCCCGGTACTCAGGGCCCGAGGGTCATCAGGCACGCGCCCTGAGCGCAGCATCTATTGTTCTGAAAACAAGGAAGACCAGAAAAAGGGCCCACGTTTTAAAGTGGAAGGAGCTATGGGCTCAAATTCAAGACCCCTGGGTTCTGATCTCTCTCATTTCGTGACCTTGGGCGAGTCCCCTGACCTTTATTGGCCATCACCTTCCCATCTGTGAAATGAGGGTGATGAATCCCCCCTGTCTCGCTGGGGTATTGAGGGGCACACGAGCTTTGGGAAGACCTTGGTGATTAGGAGGTGCCGTCAGCTGTTAGGATGCTGACGGGCGCGGGGAGGGATGGGGCCGAGCTGACTAGGAGGCGGTGACAGAGAGGGAGAGTGGCCCTAGGTCTGAGCTGGCCCCTGGGTGGTGCGACAAGCACCTCAGTCTCCCGCTTTGGCGCTCACGGCTCCTTCCGCCACAGCGGATGCCAACAGTCCCCACCTGCGGCCACCATCCTGGCCTTCCTACGCAGACCAAGTTGCCAAGCGCCTCAGAGATGGCCTCAAAGAGACCTCCTTCCCAGTAAATGCTAGCTTTGAGGAGGAAAAAGACCAGAGAGCGGCTCCCAGGACAGTCGGAGGCGCGGGGTAGGGCAGGCACCTCCACTTGGCCTTGGCCTGAGGGGAAGGAGCTGGGGGCAGCTCTGCGGGCTGGCCTTGCCCGTGGGACACGGATCCTGGGGTCTGGTCCTGTCTCTGGCTGCCAGCCACCACCGCCTCGTGTGCCGTGGGCCCAGGCGCCGCCCCTCCCCGGGCCCCAGGCTGCTGGCCGTAACAACAGGGTGGGGAGTCAGTGATTCCCACCTCCCGCTCTGAGGCTGGAATCAGGTCGTGAGGATGGAGGCAGGGAGGGAGGGGGGTGTGAAGGGCGCGCAGGGGAGATGGGGGGGTGGATGGAAAACAAAAACACCCGAAGAGAAAAATTCCACTTGTAAACTAAATAGAGTTACTTTGTCAGGAAACAGGGCACACGGCACCATAAATATTAAAGTAATTTACTATAGAACACCGTCCTGTTTTATTTGGTGGTATTCCCCAGCCAACACCGCGGCGCTCGCCTACTTGGAGAGCATTGGAGGTGTGGGCGGAGCCGAGGAGAAAAACGAGGGGTTGTCTTCCCTGGGCACCAACTTGGGGCAAGTCAACCCTACCTGTCTCCATGGAAACAGAGCAGGACCAGGTGGGCCACTCGGCGGCCAGAGAACCAGGGCACCGTCTCCCTCTACGGGGTAAAGCTGGACACAGCTTAGGCCAGGAGGGAGCCTCAGAGACGGGGCCCCAGGCAGGCCAGGGTGGGGCGGGACGCGGCCTCTTAGAAGGCGGTGACCCAGTCAGCTGCCCGTCCCCGTGCCCTGCAAGCACAGACGTCCCTAGAAAATGAGGCCGGTCTCAGGTGAAACATAAAGAGGGAAAGGAACCAGGGTTTGAATCCTGCCTTACCTCTCACTCACTGACGGAGGCAAGTTGTTTAATCTGTCTGAGCCTTTCTCATTTCATCTGCAAAGTGCAGATCGCTCCCCTCACCTCACAGGGTCGCTGGGAGGGTTAGATGAGATCGTCTATGCCAAGTATTTGATCCTCCCAGGAGCTTGCGCCACTGCCAGTCCAGGTCCCTAAGCAGCCACTCACTCTGGAGGAAGCTGCCCGCCCCTCCCGCGCTCTGCCCAACCTCGCGCCATTCAGAGTCTGGCCCTTCCTCCCTGTCCGCCCACAGGTGCACGACGTCCCCCAGCAGTGATGAGGGTAGAAATCACCGAGGCTTTGCAGGCACCCGCCTCCTGCCGGCCTCGCAGCGGTCCTCACCCCCGTGCATCCAGCCAGGAAGCAGAGGTGCGGAGGCAGGTGCCCAGGCCACGCGGCTGTCAGCCAGGGGTTGGGCCCGCGCAGGAACGGACCTGTGCTCTGAACTACAGCCCTTGCTCGGCTGCCCCAGAAGGAACACTGGCCAGAGCACCAGATCCCAACCTCGGCTCTGCCACCAGTCAACCGTGCGACCTGGGCAGGTCTCTCCCCTCCCTAGCCTCTGTGTCCCTGTCTGTCACCGGGGGCGAGGGGGGATCGCTATGGGTCCTCTGGCCCCAGGTTTGCTGGAGTGGAGGGAAAGCTTGGGAAAGCTTGCCCAGGGGCTAATTACCTCTCCTGTCATTATCTTCTCGGTCACCGCTCCCCGGCAGAGACAAGTCCCTGCGCCCACAGCAGGTGGGGAGCTCTGATCTGGCTTTGGATGTAAGTCTCTCCCACACGTGCTCTCTCCCCTTTTCTCAATCGCTTCACTCCCGGGGCTTCAGTGATCAAAGCGCCTTTGCCCCGAGCCTCCCAGGCAGGCAGCCGGTCTGACAGGCTCCAGCGAGGGAGAGGGCCGCCCCGTGGGGCGGCGGCGGCTGGGCAGGGCCCCGGGAAGCCTGGTAGGCAGGGTCTCTGCAGGGAGGAGGTGGCAGCAAGGGGTAACGATGACGAGGGGAAGGAGTGCTGGGACGGGGCGGGGGTGGGGGGCGGTGGCGCGGCAGGGTGCTGGGTCCCTGATCTTTAAAATAATGACCATCGTGCCCAACCCCTGCCAGAAAATGAGTCCAGTGTGGTCCCAAAGAAGCATCTTGGTCAAGCCATGAGTTGGCAGAAAGAGGAAGAACTTTGGCCCTGCCCCACCCCCGCTGTTGCCAGACCTCCCTGAGCCCCATTTTTCGTTGACGCAGCGCGGACAGTAGAACCTGCCTACCTACTGACTCGCTGTGATGATGACTGGGCATGTACAAAACACTTCATTGAGTGTCTGTACACAGAAGGGCATAGCCACTGGCCATCTGTATCTGTCCTTTCTCCCCACTGTCCCTCGCGGAGGCCCAAGCTCCTGAGCTCTAACACCCTGCAACACGCCCACCTCTCAGGGCGGATGTAAACATTCAAGAGCGAGCAAGAGTAAGGTACGCGGCGCTCCATAGCGGAGCTCCTGCGCCCTCCTCCCCCAGCCTCCGTCTGCGTCTGTGAAGGAGCGCGTCTTGCTCCCTGCTCCAGGCTGCCACGGGCAATAGGGACGGGTATGGGGCTTGCATGGCACGTGGCATAGGCCTGGCACTCGCGGGGGACCTCAGCACGCGCGAGCCCGCGTCTCAGCCCATGGCCTGCAGTTCTGTGTTTGGCCCATTGCAGGGTTGCTGTCAGGGGCGGGCAGTGCTTCCCAGGCAGTTGGCGATGTCCAGCCGCTCAGGGCCACCGCTGACAGCAGCCACCTGTCCTCCCAGGAGCTCAAGGATAGACAACAGGTAGCGCTGTGCTTCTTAGCCACCAAGCATTAGTACTGCACGGGGACCGAGTGGGTCAAGGCCTTTCTCTGCTGGCTAAACGGCGATTGGCCACAGAGCAGGAGAGGGACGCGGGCCAGGCAAGAGGGCTGTTCATCTCCCACCGCCTCCCCGGGGGTGGCTGCGACAGTACCTGCTCAGCTTCATGGGGAGGGCCCACTCCCAGCAGATAAGCAGGCCAATCTATCTCCATCAGAGACTCCCGCTCAAGGGCAGCACCATAAATCCCACGATGGGAGCCCGCCAGCCAGCCAGCCAGCCACTCCTTAGCGAGCCTCTTCCTCCCGGGGCCCTGCCACTCTGCGCTCGGCAGCATGGAGTATAATCTGCAGTTCTGCATCTGATCCATCAATAACCCCAGGAGAGGCACCTCCCTCCCGCTCCGCGCTGGTGAGACAACCGCCGGTTCTTACCTCTCCTCGAAGCTGGGAGCTGAATTCTCCCCCCGACGAGGACCGCTCTCACTTCTTGGAACAGCTGTGTGACTGTGTGCTTGCGTTCTCCAGCTTGTCAACCCTTCCCAGCCTGGGCTGCCGAGGACGGGAAGGGGTGATCCTGACATCGCCCCGGACGGGGTGGGTAAGACGGGAAGCAGGGGCGTCCCGGCGGGGAGAGGTGAGCAAGACTGGAGGCCCAGAGCCACAGACTCCTCAGCCAGGAGGCTGCTTGTGCCTAGATTTTCCCATCTGTACAATGGGTCTCCATTCGTTCGTTCATTCATTCATTCATTCATTCATTCAACAAACGTTTACATGTCAGGCCTTGTTCTGAATGCTCTATGTAGCCATGAGCAAGATAAGCGCCTGCCCTGAGAAGCGTGCAGCCTGGTGCAGGAGGTGGGCAGCGGGAAGGTAAACACACAGAGAAATTCGATTCTTTCAGATTGTAATATCTATGAAGAAAATTGAAAGGTGCTGGGAGAAAGAGCGGCTGGGGCGAGAACAGCACTTAATACGGAGGGTTCAAGGAGGTCTGAGGGAGCAGGGTTTGCGCCAAGCTCTCAGCCAAAAGGGGGAGCAGCCAAGTAAGGACAGGGAGGGAAAGGGGCCCAGCAAGTGCAAAGTCCTGAGGCAGAGGAGAGTGTTTCCTACATAGGAAGAAAGGGAGCAGCGTCGCTGGGGTGCGGAAGGGGTGGTGGAAAATGAGGGAGGCGGTGGACAGAGCACTCGGGGCTTCGCAGAACACAGGCCATGGGGACCGGTGCCGCTGATGCTTGGAATGGGAGCCACAGCATTTGCCAGAAGCTCCTGAGCTGGGAGGGCAGCGATCTGATGCCCTGACTCCTGAGCCGGATCTCTTTAGCTGCTGTGCGGAGAGTACATTCAAGGGAACAGGAGAGGAAGCACTTGTTGAGGAAGGAGGCCCCACAGTAAGTATGAATATTTGATCCAAATGAGCTTAGAAATGAGTCAAGGAGAATGAGGCTTCTAAAGGGCCAATTCAGCCAAGATAATCTAAAAAGCAAAAGCCATTTCAGCCTTATCCCCTGTATACCAGGCAGCAGGGAATGAGAAAGAAGTGGAGTGTTATCCCTGCCCTTGAGGAGGGGCCAGGCCAGTTGGGGAGGCCAGCAAGGAGGGAAAAACCTCCAGGCACGGCCAACCAGTGGTCGGCCCTACCCAGAGAATCGGGGAGGGCTTCCCAGGGGAAGTGACTATTGGCCAACATTTATAGGAAGAGGGCATCAGGACAGACAACACACAGCAGGGGAACCTAAGACACAGACTCAAGGCCACGCAGAAGGACCAAGGTCCGACTCAAACCCACGCTGCCCACATGGCAGGGCCCATGCAACTGCAAGACGGGTTCTGGCTCCCGGTCACCGAGTTCCCCAGCGGAGGCCCCAGATGCCGTGGAGCAGAGGAAGTCACCCCGCTGTGCCTTGACCCGCCTCCTCACCCACAGATGCTGTGACGTAATAAATGGCTGGTTATAGCCCCTGCTTCGGTGTCATTTGTGACACAGGCAGGGTAACTAGAACAGCTCCCCGTTGCCTGCCCTCATTATGAAGTTCAAGTTCTTGAGAATGATTTGCCAGGCCTTCCTGATCTGCCCAGACAGTTTCCCAGGCTCGTGTCTTCCCACATGCCCTCCACAGCCCCTGCTTCTGCCCCGGTGAAGTGCCTTGGGTTCTGGAACAGAGCAGGCGCCCGCTCTTCACAGACGCTCTCCCCGGCCTGCAGGGCGCTCATTCCTCCTCCACACCCGCCGGTAACTCCATCCCAAGTCCCAGGCAGGCCCTGCTTCCTTCGGGCAGTCCCTCCGGCTGCCTGCCATGCGCTTTCAGATACTATACCCGTCGCTCCCAGGCACAGCAGGATCCCTTCATCCATCGACGGTGCCTGGCCTCATGTCGGGTGAGCTCGGCAGGGGCAACAAATGTGTTTATTTTACTGCCTCGTCTCCAGCACAATGCCTGAACATACTGGCTAAAGAAGTGCATGACTGAGTGTGAAAACGAGTTCTTCCGCATGGAAAGGGACCAAGCACACACCAGGCTGTGCCTGAGCCCCTCCCCTGTGCCAAACACAGCTGGGTGCGGAGAGCACCCATCTACCTCTCACGTCTGGGGAGTGCTACCGACAGGGAGGAAGCCAGTACTAGGGCAGTCAGAAGGAGAGCTCCCTCCAGGAAGACTTCCTGGAGGAAGCGGCATTGAAGCTGGGCCCTGAGCGATGGACCGCACTCCAAGAGGCGGACACAGAGGGGAAAGGCGCAGTTGGGGAAACAAAAGGAACTGTCCAGACTGAGTCTAAGGCAGTGTTGCTCAGCGTGTCTGTCTGGGGACCACACTCTGAGTAGCGCTGGTGTCAAGGGACCCAGAAATGACTCAGGGCACCTGGACAGAGGAAAAATTGATTTCACAAGGGAGCCGCCAACCTGCATGCCAGGATCTAGTCGCTGAGAGGATGCAGGTGGCGGCTGTTTGGAGCAGGAGGTGAGGGGCAGCACCAGGGCCGGAGCCAGAGCCTCAGAGACACAAAGGCCAGGCAAAACGCCCTCCCCCGAGGCCGCAGGGCCCCACACGAGACAGAGCCGCCCTGTGTGCGCTGGCCGTGGGCCCGGCGGCCGCATCCCTGCCGGGCTGGTGTATTGCCTCCTAACCTTGCTGCAGTAACGGATCCCTTTTTGATTCTGTTGGAGCCACGGACTCTCCTTTGAAACATTCCCATGGACACACGCACTGACCCGCTGACCTAGGATTATAGAATTTCCAGAATCACACCCCCAGTGAAGTACTGAAGTACTAAGCAGCCCTTTGGGCAATGTGAGAGGTCCCCTAATTCCAGGTCCACTAGAATCAGCCAGGCCACACGGCAAGGCACCAGAAGAAAGCTTGCAGGCGTACAGGGCTAGGCAAAGGGAGGAAGGAGACCTTTTTCTAAGTTTACCTGAAGGCAGGGTGGAAGCTGGGAGATGCAGTCAGAAGCCCAGGGGAAGGAGTTCAGGGTCCCTGAGCTGGAGGATGAACGCTGTGGGGAGGGGAAGAGGCCCCTATGGCTGAGGCAGGCCCAGGGGAGGGCAGCAGGCTGGTGGGTCTTTGGGACGGGGAGGGGAGAGCCCTGGGACCCTGGCAGAGGCTCAGAGCCCAAGGGCCTCTTGCCTCGGTCTTCCCGTTTGTGAAGTGGGACGATGCTCGCCCTGCCCCTTTTTCCTCCACGGGATCCAGGAGGAGGCTGAGATAAAGCCCACCAAGTGCGCGCCCCCGGGAGAGGAGCACTGGATTAGCACGAGGATTATAAAAAGAGTCATCCGTACTGCACAGGAAGCGGAATGCAAAGAAGCACCCAGCCTTCTCGAGAGAGATAACAGGCGAGAGCGATAATGTCGGCAGAGGATGGAGAGCGAACAGCGGGGGACTGGTACCGAGATGGGGGGAGAAAGCAGCTGCTGATGCAGAGGGTGCGTGGAGCAGGCGCGGAGCTGCTCCCAGAGCCTCAATAGGGCCTTTGAGCTCCAAATCAGGCCCCCCTCCTGGGGAGAGGCCCGCAGGGCGTGTGAAGGCAGGGGGAAGCTACGGAAATCATCGGCAAGCTGGGCCTCTCTGACTGGTTCCTGCCCCCTGAGGACTTCAGGAGTGGGATTAAGGGGAGGCAGACCCAGCCCCGCCCTCTCCTGCCGACCCCATGGCCACCCAGTTCCTGTGTCCCTCTGAATGTCAGAGAAGGGTGGGCACTGTGCTCTCTGGGTGCTCACCACCTGCTGGCACCCACGTGCTCCTGGGCCACGTGGCTCTCTGCCTCCTGCAGACGGGGAGCGCCAAGGGGCAGCCTCCACGCTGCTCTGCCAGTGTGCGGGAGAGGGCAACGGAGGCACCGAGAGACCAGAGTCCCTCTCATGCCAGAGCTCATGTTCCCGGCCACTAGTTATTGACTCTAGTGGCTCTGAGATCCAGAGTGGATGGTCCAGGCCTCAGGAGGGGTCTGTCCTCACAGCACAGGAGGCAGCTCAGGGCTCCTGCAGTAGTAGGATGAGGGGGCTGGGGTGGGAGCCAGCCAGTGAGGTGGGGGGAGCGGGAAGGCAGCAGACACTGCCGCTGAGTGAGGCAGGGAGCTGATGAGAGGCAGTCAACCATTTATAACAACCGTAAGTTCGGGGAAACCTACCACGTGCCAGGCATTTACCTGATGGAAGGCGCCCCGCTGAATCCATGCCACAATTCTATGAAAAGGACTCATTTATGCCTTTGCGACAGGCACTCAGAGAGGTTACATGGCTTGCCTCTGGTCACGCGGCTAGGAATTGGAGAGCCCCAATTGGAACAAAAGTGCGTCAGCCACCCAGCACCTGCTTTTCCCGCTGCCTATGCTGCCTCTCCAAGCACCTCCTTACGATCCTGCGTAGGTGTACGGGGAACGGGTTTAGGCAGAGGGCAGGTGGATGGAGACCACAAGGGAAGCATCATTCTGAGGACCTGATTCCCCACAGTAAGGGGAGGAGAGCCTCTCGGGTCTCTAGGAGCAAACCCAAGCCGTGCCTGGGGAAAGACCCCTCCAAGCAGGGGCCAGAGAGTGGGGAGGCCGCTGCCTCACTCCTGCAGGGCTGCCCGCTTTGTCTACCAGTCACTCACCAGGCCTCCTTGGGTCTCTGGCCTCTCTATGCCCAGGAATGCCTGGCGGTATTGGCTTTGCCTCACATAGTAATTTTTCAATCTGATTAAAGCTGTTTGTCTCCCAGCCGCTTCTCTGCCCTGCTGGAGAGAGGTACATCCTGAATCCTGGCCCTCGGGGGAACAAATGCTGTTAAAGAGCCATCAGCCTTCAGATGAGACTCAAGACCCAGGGCAGGACCTTGGCACCGCTCTGAGCCCTGGGCAGTGTATCAGGTTCATGAGCAGAAGCCCCGCCTCCTCCCCACCCCCAGCATCTCTCCCTGTTTCCTCTGGACTCTCCTCAAGTTCTGCTCATTTCCACCCTGCACTGCTGCCCCTCCTGGGGACACTGGCGTCTTTTAGCTGCACCCTGGCCTCCCCGCCTCTGTTGTCATCCCTCCTACACCAGATGCGCTCATTCATACATCTGTTACTTGGCTCACTCAACACCTACTACGCGCCAGGACCTACGATGCGCTAGCAGCTGTGCTAGGCCCTGCATACCAGAGTGTAAGACATAGTT